AAATATTCAGCTCCCGGGGACAGAAAAGAGGGAGAAAGGCCCGGGATAAAGGTGCGGTGACCATCACAGATGCAGCGGTGGTCAAATAGTTTCACACATCGGATAGATCATGATCTAGATCATCTATGGTGTATAGATCAAGAGCCGGTAGTATCACAGATGATCTGTGGAGTTATAGATCAAGAGTCGGAAACATCCACAGATGATCTATGTAGTTATAGATCAAGAGCAGCAAACATGTGTAGATCTATCTGTTTCTATAGATCAAGAGTCGGAAACATCCACAGAAGATCTATGTTATAGATCAAGAGCAGCAAACATGTGTAGATCTATCTGTGTCTATAGATCAAGAGTCGGGAACAAGGACAGATCAACAGATCGCTATAGATCAAGAGTCGGAAACAAGGACAGATCGACAGATCGCTATAGATCAAGCGTAGGACACAAGGACAGATCAAAAGATCGCTATAGATCAAGCGTCGGAAACAAGGACAGATCGACAGATCGCTATAGATCAAGAACAGCAGACAATGTTGATGTTCCGATCTGTGTCTATAGATGAGAGCCGGAAACAAGGACAGATGATCTGTGAGTTACAGATCGAGAGTGGCAAGCATGTTCGGAGCTATCGATGTGCATAGAACAAGAGTCGGAATATCAATATCACAGATGATCTGTGGATTATGGATCAAGGTTGGCATACATGTTCGGAGGAGTATATATGTCTGCCCCGACACCACTCTGATACAATTGCACACCAAGATGTAAAGGTGAGCATTGTACAAGACGAAGGAAATCTGAATGTAAATGTAAATGTGGTAGCAAAAACGTCGTGCCTACCCGCCCCCCCCACCTCTGAAGTAGCCCGGCCGCACGAAAATTGTTGTTCGCAAAATAAACGTACCAACAGCATTGTTGTTCATGTTGTCTTCGCATCACAAACTGTTCCGTTCTCTCTACCCAGTACCTTCTTCTGTCCGTACAAATCAAACACTTGACGCGGTCGCCGTAGCACACACAAGAGAAGAAGCGAAAACCATGAATCTGAGCAGTTCGCAAACAGCAACGGCATCCACAACGACGTAACCCCCCCCTGCCCCCGCCATTCAGATTCATGGTGATGCAATCTCGACCTCCAACGACTCGTCCGCGTATTCGTCGTCGTTGGTGTCCGGCACCACCTCGCCCACGGAGAGACTCTCCGTCTCCTCGCTGGGGTTGGAAAGCCGCCTTGGCACCGCCTTGATGCCATCCGCCTTTGACAGTTTGGGCACCTCCAGCGGGATGTACTCTTGGTTGCCGTTGAGGAACAGCAGATAGATGTATGCCGCATTGGGAGTGTGGGAGCTGTGGGCTCTCTCGAGGAGCTGACGTGGCCCGTGACACGTGGTACGAAATACCACGTGATCTGTGGTCTACAGACCAAGAGCGGAAATACACCGATGACCTGTGGTCTACTACAGATCGAGCCCTGCAGATCGAACAATCACCGATGACCTGTGGTCTACAGATGAGAGCAGCAACCATATTCGGATCTATCTGTGTCTACAGATGAAGAGTTGGAAACATCACGGATGATCTGTGGTCTGCAGATCAAGAGTTGGAAATATCACAGATGATCTATGGTCTACAGATCAAGAGCAGCAACCATGTTCGAATCTATCTTTGTCTATAGATCAGGAGTCGGAAACATCACAGATGATCTATGGTCTACAGATCAAGAGTCGGAAACATCCACAGATGATCTATGGTCTACAGATCAAGAGCAGCAAATATGTGTAGATCTATCTGTGTCTGTAGATCAAGAGTCGGAAACAAGGACAGATCAACAGATCGCTATAGATTTTGGTGATCTGCGACCGAAATGATCTAGAGTGATCTATAGAGATCTGATCTACCCGATGTGTGAATAGTTTTGTCAAGGGGATAGGCGCTTCGGTCAAGCTAGACCCACCAAAATTTATCCGAAGGACTGATACGTATCCCAGTTTTCCGTGCAACTACAAAGCAGAGACTATCGACACGCACGGGCATGACGTCATTTCGGAGGTGAGACCAAGTAGCAAGTAGTGGGGTGGAATTCTTGTCACGAAAAGGTTGTACTCCTCGATTGCTCAAAACGGTCGTACATGTTTTTGGCGCTCGTTGTCGAGATTTGTCGCAGATGGCTCTCTGGAAGCGCGCACCAAGAGTTCCATTCCAAACGTCAGGAGCCAAAGGCCACATTACCCCAGATACTACTACTGTTCAACATTTAAGGTTTCCGTTAAACAATGTAGGAACTTCTGCTCCGGCCCGAACTCACACACTTCAACCAGTTGTACCTGGGAGAGAGATCTGAGTCTCCGAAATCTCCCAAAACAAATGCCGCCTTTGGTACCGTCGGGATTACAAAAGCGGCGAATTTACGCCCGAAGATCCGGAATCACAAATCAACACCTCCCGCACTCAACCACATCTGAAATCTGTCGTCCCATACCTCTTTCACCTGTAGCCACGAACATTTGCCATCGGAACTACACCCCTGTCAGGATAGTGCGGCCTGCAAACACACACACTCACCCCCGGCGGGAGGACTGGGGGGCCGACAGGCCCCGCGGAGCTCTTGTACACACAGACGCCGTTGTTTAGGTCGAAGAGAGCAACACCGCTCCAGGGCCAGGGATCAACCTCCTGTTTCTTGGCTCTCAAACAACCGTCTGTGCTGCTATCAAACCGACAAATCCATGCAAGCGTTGTTTGTTTGAGTGAGCCCTTTGCCAGAGGCTTCTTTCTCTCTACGGTGTCGTGTTGTTTGAGAAGCGGTGAACCAATGCGCGATGTCTCACAGCAGTACTAGTGTACCTGGGGACAATGCCTGTGCTGGTCGTTGACGGAGCTCCTTATTTTCCTCCCGGAGCTGCCCCTTTTCCTCTCGGAGCTGCATCTCCTTTTGCTGGAGCCGCTCCAGCTGCTTCAAGAGGAAGTTGCCGTCACTGACGCCGAGATACGCAAGTCCCCCAGAGAGAGCAGTCTCCACCGCCTCGATCTTCTTCTCCACCGCCTCGATCTCCTTCTCCACAGCCTCTATCTCGGCTTCTGTCACCGCGATGGCAAACTGCGGGGGCGTTGCCGGTGAAATGCTGCCACTCCCCTCCTCATCGCCGTGGACTCTCACCGCGCGCGAGATCGCCAAATTCCGCCCCAACACCTGACGAGGCAAGCGATAACGATCCCCCAGGCACACCGCACCTCCTGGAGTAGCGCCACCCGAGTGCACATCTAGAGGAGGCAAAGGGTGCCACGTTCGGCGCGAATGCCACTCCGAAATTTGCATAGCACAGCAGCTGTAAACTGGAACGCATTGCCTCAACTGGCCCTCACAGCTTCCCGCCGGAGTGTAATACACCCTTCTTCCCCTCGCTGCCTCGGCAAGGTTTTGCTTAGGCATGACCCAAAGCGAGGGGGGGGGTCTTTCTAGCGAGCAGGGCTAGACTCACCCTCAAGGGACCGATACCTTCTTGCTACGGCGCACCCGCCGCGAGGCGTGCGTAGTGGTGGAGTTGGGTCGGCACTGGTGCGTCAGGTACAAAGGTGCAGATGCGCGGGCCTCGAGGCCGTCGGTGTAGGCAGCAATGCCCATCTCATCTTTGTGCGCAGAGGCAGACGCCATCAGAAAGGTGGACGGGCACTATGTACACGGCCCTAGGTTTGCTAGAGGGAGCTGTACTGTCTCAGTAACATGGTTTTGCCATCAAATGAGGAGGGGACAGGTGGTGACGAGCTGACTGGGCTGGTTGACCCTTCGGCGCGAGAATTTTTCAGACCAAGAACCCTAAGTGCAACGAGGGAGAAAGCGAGGAACCGGCTGGGAAGGACAGCAACGAGAGCGTGTACGAAGCGGAGCGGGTCGATTTTGGTCGTGCTAGGACTGGCCACAGCGACACCGGAAAAGCGGCACCGGAGCAGCGGCACCGGAGCAGCAGCGGAACCGGAGCATGCGGATGGCATCAAACCGTGGCGCACGGACAAACATCTCTTGTGTTATCAAATATTTTCTGTTTTTTCCTGAATATAGGTGTTAGGTATGTGTGATGACGTCACTGGTTTTGTAGAGAGATGCGGCAGAGATGGTGAAGATAAGCCGGGTGCCTTAATTGTGTACCTGCATCGTGGAAGACCCCTTCAATGTGGAACGATTCCTAGTCAGTGTCAATGTTTACACTGTTGTGTCTAGCACAGATGATCTGGATAGATTCGGGCGATTGTCAATTGCAATGATGGCTTTGATTGATTGTTCTTCTTCATTGTATGTCCACGGACCCATTCTGACAGCACTTCAGACAGCAGCTGCATGCCACGAGCTTGTTGTGTACCATACACCATGGTGTTATTTTTGTATAGACAGCACTTCAGACAGCAGTACGCTGAAGTCGACAAACATTCATTTTGGTGAAGTGCGAGACAAGGGGGGTGATGCGCTGTTGTAGTCGAATTGCAGTGTGTGGTCGTGTAGTTCAGTTGTGAGCACGCAAACGTGCTGCAGGGATTGTAGGTGTACCTCCTCGGGCTTGTGTACCCTCTTTCTCGATATTGTCATCTTCCATAGGTGAAGGCGGGCGCCTAGTGCGCCGCTTCGGGGGGCACGCAGATATTTTTCGTGGCAAGGGCAACGAGCCACCGCAAAAAAAAGAAAATTGCCGAGAACCGACCTCTCCACAGAACCGAGCATTCCTCGGCCCACGAGGCCGAGCCTGAGGCGGGACATCGAGGGTGCTGAGAAAAGGTGATGAGGAAGAGTATACGCCACAGCGATGATCTTGTAGGTACCCTAGCAAAGTTGGATCGGCGCGCGAAAAGAGCAGTCCAAACACCCTTCGGCAGAACTCCGCCTTATTTAGTCGCAGCATGTTGGAAATTGAGGAGGAGGCCACCTATATGGCGACCGAACCAAAGTCGGAGTGGCGAGGTTGGGGTCTTTCAAGCCCAGGTCGAGGAGGGACGGGCGGGCGACGGGAAGCATGGAGGAGAGGCTCCTGCGGAGGCCCACGGTCAGAAGGGTGCTCTCCCTGAAGGCTTTCGAAAAATGGGTGTGTTCTTGTTTATTTTGTAGCTGCTACATACAGGCAGCTCGCCCGGAAACGCAGTCTACCAGTCGGACTTGTGTTTTTTACGATACCTCATTGCAGGTGGGGCCGGGCCCAGAGGAGCCTCTGTGGAAATTGAGGAGGACGCCACCGGTGGCGCCCCGGCGGGAATTGGAGGGTGCGAGGTTGGGATCGATCAAGCCCAGGCCGAGGAGGGGGCCGGTGGCGGGCCGCATGGAGGAGAGGCTCTCGCGGAGGCCCGTAACCAGAAGCGTGGTGTACCGGAGGGCTTTTGAAGGTGTGTTTTGTGTGTACTGAAGTAGTCTAGCCTCGCTCCCCGCTCCCGGATAAGCGGTCGGAAACGCAGTCTACGACCGGATTTTTGAAGGTGTGTTTTTTTACGAAAGCTCATTGCACAACTCCAACCGTATTACCCCACCGCCCCCAATATTGCCAGGCCTTGCTTTCATCACCCGTTCGTGCGGAGGAAGAGGGTTGTTCGGCGTTCCCGCCACCCTCCGAGAACAAGGGCGACAGTGGCACGCGACCTCGGTGGCAACTGCGCCAGAATGCCAGTCGCGTACACTGCAGTGGGGGAAGCACGGGCGGCTAGCTTTTGGGGGGAGGCCTTAGGGCCTGGCCTGCCTGCGGGGGTTATGTGCACGGGCGGCAGGTGATTCTTAGCACATTACTATTAGAATAGTCAAGAATCTTGAGATTGAGAAATTGAGGCTGGGCATTTCACAAAAAAAAAAAAAACGATTTAAAACATCCTGCTGTAGTAAGAAACCATGGTGAAACGTGGTTTGCTCGTAAAGCTTGGACTAGGGTGGTTCGGGTTCTATCTCGCAGAGCTCACCCCAGCTCACGACACGACACGAGTACGACTACCATGTCATTCTTCACGCCGACGGGGACACGCAAAGCATGAAGTTGCCCTTGGAGTCATACAGTACATGGGCAGATGCCGCCGCTGGGTCGTGGGTGCTGCTGGAAGTAGACGACGAGGAGGGGATCAGGAGGTCCAAAAGGGCGACAACCCTCAATGTTCGTAGAACAGAACCGCCTAGTAGATTGATGGTTTCTGTCTCGGCAGTTTTCCTCCCGTGTGATTTATGCAGTTCTTCGGATGTTTACGGTTGTCGCACATGAGGGGAGGCCGTACACCTTGGCACCTTTGTAGCACCAGACTAAAGCAGTAGGCCTGCAGAGTTGTGATCGTGTTTGGTACATAGTCTGTTGGGTATATTGGTGGTGCTTTCCACCACACCGCCCGTCCGATGTTGTTGAAACATTCAAACACGGTAATATCCATGGCCTTATTTGACTCCTTCCGAAGCAGGGTGTTGTATCCTGTGTAGGGCTCATGGGGATTTCCCCGTCTTTTTTCCCGATGTTTGTTGAAACACTGAAACACGGAATATTCATATGCCCATGGCCTTATTTGACTCCTTCCGAAGCAAAAGTTTGTTTCTATGTAGGGCTCATGGGGACTTCCCTACCTTTTTCCAACGCAAAGCAAAGGCCTCTTATTTGAATAATGTCGGGAACATGTATGTATGTCTATGGACGATCGTCACGCTCATGAGTCTGGATAGTGTACCAAGCGTAAACCATCATCCACTGGAACCTTAGCTATGCACATGATGCGATACACCCCAAGAACAATACGCACACCTTTGTGTGTCTTCCGTTGCCAGGCTGTCCGTGCCCTGCGGTATAAAGTTCCTCTCAAAACCATTGGTCCATCCTTTCAAACTGTCTCGGCGCCGGTGTAAATAACCCGCCCGATCTAAAGGCCCTGATTCATGCGTCAAGGCATTGTACAATACCTACATCTTAAAGCACCGGATTCGTCAAAGCATGGGCTAGTCCAACACAGAATTAGCCGTCCGTACTACTCTGCTTCAGCATACATGAGGCTCGCACGTTGCAGCGTAGTTGCCACCAATATCTCTAGCCACTCTCGCCCTTGTTCCAGAGCGAAACGCGGACGCCGAGCACCCCTCTCACCCGAACGTTTTTTCAAAAGAAAGTCGGCCTGAATGTGTCTGTACCAGGAAACACTACGGGGGGAGGAACGGGAGCAGGGCTAGATTGTTTAAGTGAAGTACATGAAATAACCAGAATCCAACCTGGGGATAGCAAAACAAAATCACACATTCAAAAGTCCGATGGTAGACTGCATTTCAAATCGCAGGACTCCGAGTGCTGAACAGTTATCCGTTCGCCCGATTTTCGGCTTCATGTTCCACCGCAGAGTCTGCGGTGGCAGAGGCGGCAACGCGCACGTGATCCGAATTAGATTTCAGCGATCATAAAATTACTCCCTTGCTTGACGACTGCTCCTACTCTAAGAACTGACACGCTTCTCACGGCGCTCACCTTTTTGTTGGGCCGATAAGAGCTGGCGTCCGGGTTCTCGGTCTCTGGTGCTGCCCGCTTGTTGCCGACTACTTCCTCCGAAGGCGACGCCGTACTCCCACCGGCAGCAACCACCGGCTCCACCGTCTCGGCCGAAGGGGACGGAGAAACCGACGACGACATCTCACCTCCACCGATATAGCACGCACCAGATCCGTCGTCTCGACTGAAGAGGTCGGAGAAACCGACGGCGACGCCTTACCTCCACCGGTAGTAACCCCGGGGGTTGGTGACACCACAACGCGCCTTTCAGCTACATGTATAGTATAGGCAGGTGAAGTAAAATGCGGCGCAGGTGCATGGATGTTTGGATCAGTTGAAGGGGATCGCGAGCACAGATGTCGACTGTACTTGTATTCGAGCAGGGAGTGTTTTCGGCCCGCAGCAGGGCATCACTGCAGCAAAGTATATGCAGAACGCACACGAAGATAAAGTACTAAAACAAAACCATATCTACTGCTGTAGTGTCGCCTGGGTCCGGTACTGTCAATATGTGATGATGGCGAAGCACGTGCATGTGGAAATTTGCTCGACTGATTACACTTGTGGCGAGCATCTGCAAGGCCCAACAGGGAGCTGCGCCCACACAGCAGTAGGCATAGAGGTTTAAATATACAGCAGTTGAGAGGAGTACATAAAGGTGTGAATGGTGCGTTCAAACAGCGCTTGCAGCACCGGTGAGTACAACATCGGGACCGGCGAGCCAGCACATGACACGTGCAGTCTTGCACATGAGAATGTTGTGTCAGCTCAGCTCGTTGCACCCGGTGCACTTTGAACCGAAAAATAATATGGAAAATGCTACATATGGGAAAAAAACATTATCGCGACTGTAAAAATGAGTAGAGAGCTACAAGTAGTATCCTCACGTACAGATACCCGCCGCCGCCGCCGCTGCCGCTGCCGCAGCAGCAGCAGCAGCAGCAGCATGCAGCAGCAGCACGGCGAACGCGGTTTGTTTGTGGATGATCGAAAAAAAAGCCGTTGCGAAATTTAAACAAAAATCAAACACTCGTTGCAAGCTTCCAAAGATGTTGCTCCCACACCCCTTGCTTACAGTAGACACCAACGAGAGTGAGTGCACCGCGCAGCAAAGCCTGCTGTAGTGTACGCACGCAGCGCGCGCTTTCGACCACTCGCGATGTCCGCAGTCTGCTGCCACGAACAGCACCGATTTGAATTTTGAAACATTATTGTGTGTGTACCCAATTCGCGACTTGCCTGCTGGAAGCGCTGCCGCTGCCGCCACAGCTGCTGAGGATGGGACTGGATCTTTCATCGTCGCTTGTAGAGCTTGCCGCGATGACTGTACTCCCAGCCTGTCCTGAAGTCCAAGATGCCGGCAAGCACTGCCTCTCGAGAAGCAAACCGTGAGCTATGCTGTCTTTTCGCCTTGTCACATTTCCGCTTTGTGGAGTTGAGGAACAACCACCACTTGCCAGTCAGTGTTCTTCTCTGGATAGCACACGGGCATGGACGTCTTCTCCCACTGGTCTGTGGCTGCGGGCAAGCGGCTGGAGGCGATGCTGTCGCTCTCTACACGGTGCTGCGCAACAGCAATTGTGTGCTGCTGCTGTTTTTTTTTTTTTTTCTTAATATGACACAACGAATCCATCTATTCTGAAGTTAGCTTCAGTCTCATCTTTCAATATCCGTGGAACTTATATTCGCATAGCCCACCCCTTGCCCGACACTGTCTCAAATGCCGATCTCGAGCTACAGTGTAAATCTCGTGGCGCCTCGAGTATGGTTCGGTGTGGAATCGCAAATCATGAGCCGCCCCCGAGTTTGAGCAGCTTCCGCCTCCTGTGACCGGCAAGAATCGACCCTGACTATTCCTTGCCCTGTTTCGCCATGGGAATGGCCGGTTGAAACAGCGAAAGAGGGTCCTGCGGGCTGCGCACCACAATCTTTTTTGGTTTATTTTTTGCATTTGTTCTTGAGCGACCATTGTACACATGCGGCTGCTGCTGCGGTTGCTGCCGTTATGCTCGGAATGTGCTGCAATGATCGTACGGTTATCGTAGTCAGGTTTGACAACAGTCTGCTCGTTCGTATAGCGGTAGTGGTGCGCATCTATCGCGACGGCAAGCGCATTGAGATAATAGTTCGTCCGTCGTGCTTCTAGTCTACACAGATAGATAGTCGTGTTCTTCTTTGTTGCCACTTCATACCAGAAAAGAAAGAAAGTCTCCACCAACTTACAGTATCTCCACAGCAGTTCGGAAACGCCGACTAGACTATTTTTCTTTTGTCGTGTTTGTTGTTGCTGAGCGCACATCGGATGTCGCCGTTCATTACACGTGTTCAAGCCTGCGGTGGGCCAGAGGGATGAGAGTGAGTGTCTTTCTCGACCAGAGTTCATGCCTTGTCTTCTCGAGTCTCTCTTCCTTTAGTCTACCTCTCTCTTTCTGTTGCATTTTCGCCGTGAGGGTCCCAATAGCATCAAACGCCAACGGCAATCGTTTTGCATCTTGCTGAGTAGGAGGCTACCCGTGTACCCGGCTGCTGCATGTGAGGCGATGGGCGCCGCCTCTTTCCGTCAAACAATGCACATGACCCCTACGGTTCGCCGCACATGCAGTGCTCTTTGACAGCTTCCAGCGGTTCAGAGCGGCGACGATGTTTTTCGCCGGTAGGGCCCCAGAACAACGCGAACCGCGACTGTTTCGCTTTTTGGGGTCCCCCCACTCACCCAACCCACCCATGGCATGAATTTTGTTTTTTCTGTTTCCCTGCCGACTAACAACCTCGGCTACTGCAGTGCAAATTTCATGGCGCCTCAAGTACGGTTCCGTAGGGAATTGCAAATCACGACCCCTCCCCGACTTTGAGGATAGCTTCAACCTCCTGCGGCGGATAAGACCGACGTCAAACCCTAGATTTTGTCTGTCTGTGTCGCCATGTCGTCGCCATCCACGAACAGCAAGCAGTTGGAGAGTCACAATATAGAGGGTCCGCTTCGCCACCAAGAAGACAGTTTTTTCGATTCTTCTACAGCTGGATATGATGCTACCATATTCGGGTACAGCTGTGGTTGAGCTTGAGGGATAAGGTCTACGGCAGCATAATATTCTGTGCGAGGAGTCAACGCCTTCCTCGCGTAACGATGCGCATCTCCCACGGCAAGCAGAATGAAGTACGTCATCATGACGCTATTTCTTGTGACTACAAGTTCAAGTTCGCCCGGGCGTTTATTGTTCTTGCCGGAGAAAGAGACTAAACTTCTACTACGTACCATTCCGTGCATGTATCCGGCTACTGCATGTGAGGTAGTGAGTGCTGCCCCTGCTGTTTGCTGCGGTACATGGAAAGCTTCCGGTGGGTCAGAGCGGCAAGGGGGCCTTGTTTCTTCACTTGTTTCTTAGCTCTGCTCTCCTCTACTTCTTTGTTTCCGGTCGCTGGCGGTCTCTCTTTTGTTATCGCCCTTCGTTCTTGCTTGCAAGAAACTGTGAGGATGTAAACATGTAAACAGGCTGAGTCTGGCTGTTCCTTAGGGTCCCCCGCCCACCCACGACCCACCTGTCGGTTTGATTCGTGGTCTCCAATATTTTCAGCAGTAGTTAGTTGTCTACTACATACAGGACATGCGCTACTGCTAGCAACGTCCGTCCAGGGTGGGTGTAACAGAAGAGCCCCGGGGACTGGTGGCCTTCTGACCTGATCGTAGAGGGAGGTTCCTGCCACTACCACAATACGACTCTTATTAAATGTCCATAACGGGGAACGCGTATTAGTCTACGCCTCTTCTTTTTTCTTCTTTTTTCCCTCTCTCCCGTCCGTTTTTTTCGTTTCGGAGAGGAAACCTACTGTGAAAAGCGCATCTTCTGGGGTCCGCATTCAATAGTCCCGGATTCTTCCCCAGCGTGCGGAGAGCGCGTTCTGGTGTGTGTTCCTTTTCATTCGGGTGTGACGTGCGCACTACATGTATGTATGTAAACGACAGAAAAATACCAACGAGATGATTGGCGGCATCCTTGAAAGCATGGAGTCCCTCGGCACCAAAAGGTGCATGCGCATGGATGGGCGTAGTGAGAAGTGCCGGTCGAAGACTGACGTTTTTTTCGGGTGCGCGCGAAGTCGCCTCTATTATTATTATTATTGCTCATTTTTTGCTTCATTGTCCAGTCTATAGCTACTACCCACGTAGCGTATTGAAGCGAGCGGGGGTTCCTAGACTAATCTGTCGTTGACTCGCGGACCCTTCTTAGGGTCAACTTTATTTTCGTCTAAGTTTTTTGGGTAAGTTAGCCTGTGACCACGGCGGGGATCGACCGCGTCAAGTGTCAGACTATACCATACTTCATAATAGTACGGACAGACGAAGAAGGTACTGGGTAGAGAGAGCAGAACGAACGGGATTGTAATTGATTGTGAAGACAACAACAACGGAACTGCTGGGTTCATCGATCCATGGATAGTTTTTGCAGCACTTATGAAGTATTAGCGTATAAAAAGACTTCTTCATGGATGCGTATAATGAGAGGTTTCAATTCAACTATTAAATAAATACAAAAAATACACAAAACGGTAAGAAAATGGTGAGACCACTCCTCCCGTGTGTCCGCACATACTCCGAAATGTGTCCGCACACATGCATGTATACGCGTACCACACTGAAAACACGTTTAAAAAATTGAGGAAGATTGCATGCCCTACGACTAAAAGGGTGCCACGCACAAAACGCCAGACTACCCAACAGTACTTAACACATTCCTTCTGCACCTTCCCAACATAACATATATGAAAGCTACCAAACTGTTTTGTTGAGCCTGTTACCCACAGGGGAGATGCCCCTATATGCTGTCTGGGAAATCGTAGACATACGGGTACTTTCTGACGCTCGCTATGAATTCATTGCTAATAATCTGTCTCAATCTCTTTTCTATGATAGAGATGGATTGGTTGTGTCATATAAAAATAAAACAAAAACTTACTGGAGTATGGAGGGTTCTCCTTGTTGGTACGCATGGCATGTACCGGCGGTAGGTGACATAATATATCGCATCATCGATATCCACAGCTAATAATGTTAGTCCACGACGACGAGGATGTCAAACGATCGGTTTGTTTCGGAAAGCTATCGGTGCCAACGCCGCCCGGCCACGCCAAGCTTTCTGCTG